TTTGAGCTTCAAGGAGAGACAAAAATACACACACAAACACAATACGACTCGCTCGAGGCGAGGTTATTACAAACACAATACATAGTAATAGTAGTAGTAGTTCGAACTTGCTAACCTACGCTAGGTTGCCTCCCAACAAGCTCTTCTTTAACGTCTTAAGCTAGACGGAGACTCCGGGTCATGCATCTTGCAGGAACACCACCTCCTTGTGCGGCATTACCTCTCCTTCAAGGTAACGCTTCAGGCGGTGTCCATTAACTTTGAAAGTTCCTTCCTCCGGGTGGGAGATCTCAACCACCCCGTATGTGAACACTTGCGTTACCACATACAGGCCCGACCAGTTCGACCTTAACTTTCCAAGGAATAACTTCAACAGGGAGTTGTACAAGAGAACCTAGTCTCCTGGATGGAAATCCTTCCCTCCTTTCAGGCGAGCATCATGCAAGCGCTTCGTCCTCTCCTTGTAAATCTTGGTGTTCTCATAGGCTTGGAGACGCCACTCCTCAAGTTCAAGCACCTACAACTTCCTTTCATTTCCACAAAAACTAGGGTCCATATTCAAAAGCTTTGTGGCCCAAAATGCCTTATGCTCTAGCTCTACGAGCAAGTGGCACGCTTTGCCATATACCAAATGGTAAGGTGAGACGCCTATTGGGGTTTTGTAGGTCGTGCAGTACGCCCATAGAGCATCATCAAGCTTTAAGGACCAATCCTTGCGGGATTGATCCACGGTCTTTTCTAGAATCTGTTTTAGCTCCCTGTTTGATAGCTCGACTTGTCCACTAGTCTGGGGGTGATAGGCCATGGACTTAGGTTAAGTGATTCGCGTCTATCACCCCGCCGCTCCCGCGCCAATTCGGTGAAACGCGAATTTTTTGCAAACCGTTCCAAATTCGCGATTTTATTATTATGGGAGCGCGAATTTTCGATTTGAGAGCGCGATTTTTCGGTCGCTTTCATTTTCTGATGAAATTGGAAGGAGAAGAAGACAACTATCGATGCTGGTAGGGAATCCAAACTCTGGTTGCGTCTATCCCTATGTTTCCCAACCAGAGTAATTGAGAACTATGTTTCTTACGATAGATCAAAGATGTTATGCTTTCCTTTCACGCAACAGTGGCGGAGGAACAGAGGCAGCCAATTGAGAGGTCTGTCAAGGAGGTTTGGTCGACAGAAATTGAAGAGGAATCTAAAGTGCTGACGGTTGATTAGGGAGGTGGATTGACAGTGTCGGCGGAGGAAAGGGAATAGGGATAGAAGAAAGTGAGAACATGGGCAGATTGCTTCTTTTATTGAAAACAGAGGATGCGAAGTGGTACTTTATTTGTTTTATGATTACAATATTAATAATATAATCGTTATATGTTTTACTTCTACGGTGAATATAATTACATTGGTTAATGGGATGGGGATAAATAATAATAAAATCAAACATTTTTCTACGTGGATATACACTAATCACATATATTATAATTTTTACCAGTTGATTGTGATAATATTACTCATGTCGTATATATTATTCTCTAGGAAAATAATAAAATATTAATTAAAATAATATAATATTGACGCTCTGTTCACGCTCTTAATATTGAATTCTTACAAATTTGACGCTCTTGCGCTCCCGCTCTCGCTCCACGTTCTGGTTACCTAACCATGGACACCCGGTGGGTGACACCGTAGCGATCGAGGAGCTTATCGAATTTCCCTTGAAAATGGGTTCCTCGGTCGCTAACAATGGCCCTCGGGGTCCCAAACCGTGAAAACAACTTTTTTAGAAATCCACAAACTCGTCTTGCATCATTGGTGGGGAGAGCTTGAGCTTCAACCCACCTCGAGACGTAGTCTACGACCATAAGGATGTATTTGTTACCAAAAGACGAGGGGAAAGGTCCCATAAAATCGATGCCTCAAACATCAAAGATCTCACAAGTGATAGGAAATCGTCTGGGGCATCTCATTTCGGTTAGAAGCATGACCTGTCCTTTGGCATTTGTCGCAATGACTCACAAATTTGTAGGCATCCCGCAAAAGGCTTGGCCAGTAAAATCCCGAATGGAGCACCATTCTTGTAGTTTGGTTGCCTCCGTGGTGGCCTACAGCTGGCCCCGTATGACAGTGGTTAAGAATACCCTCCATTTCCTCCTCCGGTACACACCTTCGAATGACTACGTCGGTCCAATTAGAAAAAGGTGGGGATCATCCCAAAAGTAGGCACGGAGGTCGGAGATGAACTTGTTCCTCTCATGTGTAGTCATCCCCTTGCGTAGCTGCCTTCTAACCAGATAATTGGCAAAGTCGGCAAACGACGGGGCGATACTCTCTGCAGCGGCGAGGGCGAGTAACTATTCATCGGGGAAATTGTCATTTATCTCTCTCGGAGGAGTGCTACCTCTCCGTCCTTCGAGCAGCGAGAAGTGGTCACCTGCAAGGTTTTTTGCACACTTTTTGTCCTTGATCTCCACATCGAACTCTTGAAGTAGCATGATCCATCGAATCAGTCGGGGCTTGGCATCCGCCTTGCTCATCAAGAAGCGGATGGCGGAGTGGTCCGTGTAGACAACAACCTTGGAAAGCACCAGATAAGACCTGAATTTATCGAAAGCGAAGATTACTGCCAACAACTCTTTCTCCGTGGTTTTGTAATTCTCCTGAGCATCATTCAACGTCTTTGAGACGTAGCAAATAGGTTGAAAATATCTACCCCGCCTTTAACCCAAAACCGCTCCCACTGCATAGTCACTAGCATCGCACATGAGCTCGAAGGGAAGGTCCCAATCCGGTGAGACCATTATGGAGGCATTTGTAAGCTTCTCTTTAAGGATGTTGAAAGCTTCAAAACATTCATTTTTGAAAAGGAATGGGGAGTCCTTCTCCAAAAGCTTGGTCAAGGGCAATGCAATCTTCGTGAAGTTTTCGATGAAACGTCGGTAAAACCCCGCATGCCCCAGGAAACTCCTGATGCTCTTGACTGTGGTTGTAGGAGGGAGCTTGCTTATTGTCTCAACTTTGGCTCGATCCACCTCAATCCCACGCTTGGAGATTTTGTGACCCAACATAATGCCCTTCCGGACCATAAAATGTGACTTCTCCCAACTCAAAGCTAGATTGGGTTCTTCACATGGCTCAAGGACCTTCTCCAAGTTGGCCAGACAATGAGAGAATGAATATCCAAACACTGAGAAGTCGTCCATGAATACTTCCATTATATCCCTATCTATCTTATCAAAGATAGCTACCATGCATCTCTGGAATGTCGTCGAGGCATTGCACAATCCAAACGGGATGTGCCAGTATGTAAAGGTCCCGAAGGGGCATGTGAATGTTGTCTTGCCTAGATCTTCTTGGGAAATTGGAATCTAGAAGTACCCTGACATTCCATCTAGGAAGTAGTAGTAATCATGTCCAGCGAGTCTCTCCAAGATTTGATCGATGAAAGGTAAAGGGAAGTGATCCTTTCGAGTAGCTTCGTTCAACCTTCGATAGTCAATGCACACCCTCCACCCCGTCACCGTTCTTGTTGGTATAAGCTCTTCCTTTTTATTGGCTACCAACGTCATTCCTCCCTTCTTAGGCACCAACTGGGTTGGGCTCACCCACTGGCTATCCGAGATAGGGTAGATAATCTCAGCATCAAGTAGCTTGATCACTTCTTCTTTCACCACTTATTTCAGATTAGGATTCACTCGCCTCTGCGGTTGTCAGACCGGTTTGGCTCCCTCCTCGAGATGGATCTTGTGTGAACAAAAGTTTTGCCCAATTCCCCGGATATCTATGATCTTCCATGCTAATGCCCTCTCATGACGCCTTCAGGCCCCAGTCAATTCTACCTTCTGCTCTGGTGTAAGATTGGCGTTGATAATGATTGGAAGCTTTCCATCATCCCTCAAAAAGGCATACTCGAGGTGAGGAGGCAGCGGTTTCAATTCCTACTCGGGGGTTCCTCCAGAGAGGTAGGTGTTGGTTGAGTCGAGCGCGAGACTCCGGCGTAGATTCCCTCGATTCTCCGATCAATCCAGACCCTGTATAAACCTAAATCGATATCGACAAGAACAAGTGAGGAGACTGGGAGGAAAATGAAAATGAATTGATGAGAGGGATAAAGTCACTTCCCTCTTTGTGTTTGCCAAACGACAGCGAATCTGAAATCTGATGTGGGCCGGGCTCGGTTTATTATTAAATTGTCAACTCTAATTTGGCCCAGCTTCTTTATTTAGCACGTAGCGTTTTATGAACCAGGTTTCCTTCTCCACTTCTCGAGTAAACTCGATCAACCTGCTCTGCACAAGAACTAACCAAAAACCAAACGAAGAACACAAGAGAAAACTGGAAAACAGCAATGAAGCAAATCAAAACGCAAATGAACACAGACACAGTATTTTTACGTGGTATCCGGTGCTAGGTGATTAGTGAACCTAACACCGACTAATCCACGGTAGGAGACTCTCTTCTTGAGATCTCCTACTTAATCACTATGATTGATTCCTTCTTACAAACTTGGTGAATCCAGAACCAGCTCCCTGGTGATCGACCAATCACCTAACTTCTGGTGATTCAAACTCCCTGTTTAAACACCCTCATTTTTCCCGCTAATCTCCCTGATTTGCTACAACGATTTCTCACAAAAGACTACAGCTCTCTAGCACTGTCTTTTGTTACATCGCTTTGGAAAAACTTAACTTCTACTAATCTCTCATTCAAACTATATACTACTGCTGAGTTGAGAGCCGTTGAGGGTGAATCATCCTGATGAGGGTAAGTGATTTATTCTTTCCCTTTCTGCTTGATCATGATATGTATAGTTGGCCAACTTTCCTTGTATGTCTCTTCATACTTCAAGGGGTAATAAAATCTGCAACTTCCTTCTCTCAACATTCCCCCCCTAAGCATGTCATTTTCTCTAATGCGTTGATCCCATAATTCACCTGCACATCTTAACAAACGATTGGTGCAGCCTGTTCTATACAAACCATTCATTCACAGGCACAACGAAACACTCGATGAAAGAAAAGTTCATTTTATTTGAAAAGACTGCAGAAAACATATCGATTTAACCTAACACTGACACCAGGACCGACAAAACTTCAAAGCTACCCTAACCAGATCCTCCTTATGAACTCCCTCTAGACTGGTCACTTCCCCTAAACTGGTTCTCCACTTCAAAAATCATATTCGGGTGGAGATTCATAATCAGATATACCCTCGGCTTCTTCCTCCTGAGTGGTTAATGACTCGGACTCCTTTGCCCTCTTGATCTGAGCATGATGAAGCTCTAAACTGATTAGTTCCTTGCGCTTGACAGCAGTGATTCTGTCAAGTACTGCAGATGCAGCCTCTAGGAGTGTAGGAACCAATTGTCCGTCAGATGTTGTAGGTGCAGCCTAAAAAAGAGCAGGGGTATCAGCAGGCTCTCCCCTGAGCAAATGACAGGCTTTCTCCTACCAACTTGGGCATCAACACGAGTAAGGATGTGTTGAGCACGCAGGTCCTCTCGGACATCACATACAATTAGCTTATCACGAAGATCAATCCCTACCCTATCCAGGAGACGAGTGATTTGAGGACCAAACGGGAGAGGGCCAGAGTAATTCTCGTCACCGTAGTTGATCATATGAGCAAACATAAGAGTAGAGAAGTTGAGTTGGATCCCATCGCGAGCATTGGCCATAATCCAAGCATCAGCAGGATGCACAAGTTCATTTTGAGAGATACTGCGAGGAAGCAGTATCCTTGTGATGAAAAAGTGGAGCACTTTGAACTGATCAGCAAGACGGCCAGCAGATAGCATGGAAGGATAGTACCTCCCAATATCATGGGTAAGGGATTCCATGGCAGAACCGAAATCAAAGCCAATGGAAGCAAAATCATCATTTGTGGCTGCAGAAGACCCGAGACAGGGGAGATCAATAGTTTCAGCCAGGAGGGAGGTTGTAACCTTGATCTCATGGCTATACACCACAGTGGTGAAAAAGGAAAGACTGGAGCCAGGGCCATGCTTCAGACTAGCATTGAACATTCTGACTCCTTCAGGACACTGACTGAAACGTTGATTCTCAAAGAGAGAATCCCAGCCAAGTTTGTGAATGAGACTAGGAATGTCAAGATCATACTTTCTGAAGGCAGAAGGTTGAATGGGAAAGGATGGATAGAGTGGACGATTGTGAAAATACTTGAGATACCTAAGATATCGAGAGGGCTTATAGAATCCTTGATTGTTGAAGGTGGCAGCAGGATGCAGTTGAGGGTTGTTTGGGGCCATTGTGGAGAGATATGAAAGCAGTGTGAAAGGTTATGAGTTGATGGTTCGAAGGCAAGGAGTTGAGGGTGATTATATAGAGTAGGAGTAGGGTGGAAGAGGAAGGAATTCTAGTGTAAGGGAAGAAAAGATTTGGGAAGACAGATACGGAAATATGAGATGAGAACAAGAAATCTTGCAGATTTCAAGGGATTTCAGAGATTTCTTCCATTGAGAAGAGACTCAGTTCTCTCCTAATGGGAAGAAATTTGTCGGCTCCCAAAGGATTAGTGAAGATATCAGCCCACTAAAAATCAGTGCTAATAAATTCAAGATGTATTTTCTCTTCCTGGACTAGATCTCTAATGAAATGATATCTAACCTCGATATGCTTAGTCCTAGAATGCTGAATTGGATTTTTTGTCGCAGCACAAACCAGCTGCAACATATTCTGCTTCTACAGTGAAAAGGGCAACAAAATTCTGTTTCTTACTAGACCAGGCTATAAGAGAAGTACCAAGAAAGTGACAGGCACCTGAGGTGCTTTTTTTGTCTATAGAGCATCCTGCATAATCTGAGTCACTATAGCTTATTAATTCTAAGCTAGAGGTGCTTGAATACCAGAGTCCTAAACTAGAGGTTCCAGCAAGATACCGAAAGATCCGCTTAATAGCAGATAGATGACTTTCCTTAGGATTGCTCTGAAAACGAGCACAAACACATACAAAATACATGATATCTGGTCTGCTTGCAGTCAAGTAAAGCAAGGAGCCAATCATACCCCTGTACAGTCTACTATCTACACTTTTTCATGACTCATCTTTGGTAAGCTTCATTGAGGAGTAGAAATGGTTTTTAGATTGTTAAGATTGAACCTTTTAAGCATATTATTGAGGTACTTGGTTTGACTAATAAAGATTCCATCTTTAGTTTGCTTAATCTGTTGCCCTAAAAAGAAGTTGAGTTCACCCATGAGGCTCATTTCAAATCCACCTTTCGGGTAAAGTGCAAGGTTGGTCACTGAAAGTGCTAAAATATTCATGTTTGGTCACTAAAAGAATTTTATTCCATTCGTAGTCACTGGAAGTGCTTAATGTTTCACGATTGGTCACTCTCCGTTAACACCATTAATGTTTTGCTGACGTGGCTAACACCAATGCTGATTCACCAAATTAAACCTGTCATGTCATATAAATCAACCCGCCACGTAAAAAAATCCCCACACAATCCAACAAAACCACATAACCCGACCATGCCTCTCCTCTTCTTTTTCTTCCAATTGAAATCTCCATCTCAGCTTCATATTCTCCTTCTGTTGCCACCTCATCAATCATCCTCGTGGGAGTTTATATTGGATGAGGAATCAGAATTGGTCTCAGATAGATTCAAGAAATCTCTCTCAACCACAATATGAAAAACCAGACCCATCTTGATTTGGGCGGAGAAGACAATTTTTTCCCCTTTTGGCCAAAACCCAGAGCAGACCACGATTGGGAGCTCTTGAGGTTTTGCTGACGCGGGAGGAGGAAAGAATCAGGAGCATAGCGTACCACGATTAGGGATCTGGTCTGCGATTAAGGATCCAAAGAGGCGATCTTCTAACAATTTACCAACAACGGTGGAGGATTTTCTGGTAGATCTTCTTCTTGGCCAGCCATCGCTGCTTTCTTCTCATCTTTGCCCTCTTTTAAAGCTTTTGGGAAACCTAGATACTAAAATGTTTGATCTCTATTTGTGGTGATTCACGGTGCTCATCGGGATGGCATAGCAGCTCCCCGCGCTCATGTTCACCCCGTAGAATCTAGATCTGTCATTGATGTTTGCGGACGAGATGCAGAGGTGGAAAGACGGTGGGTTCATCATATTTTGTTGGTGTTGTGATTCGATGACTCTAGTACAGATTCAAGTAGTGGTTTGTGATGATTAATGAAGCGGTGAGCTGAGAATGGGAGAAAAGAGAGCTGCAAGTGGATTTAGAGTTTCAAGTGGGGTGGAAAGAATAGAGGAAGAAGAAGAGGCGCGATGAAGAAGAACAAGGCTGGTCTTGGACTTATTTTGCAGAAAAGGGTAGAGGAAGAGTCTAGGGAAGAATGAGATGGATCGGGAAAATGAACCCCCTGTTTCTTCCTTTTTAATTTTATTGGCTTGTTCTTAGGTCAACCTGTATCATGGGTTGGGTTCACGGGTCAGGTCTCCTTTTTTACCGGGTTAAATCAGGATAACTTGGCAATTCTGTTAGTCACGTCAGCAAATAACAGACTCTGTTAGCGGAGATGGACGAAGACTAACGGAGAGTGACCAATCATGAAACGTTAAGCACTTTCAGTGACCATGAATAGAATAAAATTCTTTTAGTGACCAAATGTGAATATTTTAGCACTTCCAGTGACCAACCTTGCAATTTACCCTCCACCTTTCATTGTATCAGCAAATTCCTTACACATTTGTTCACAGGAGGAACCAAATATTATATCATCTACATACACTTGCACAAGCAACATATATTTACCCTTGTTCTTAATAAACAGAGTTTTATCCACTTGCCCCCTATGAAACCCATCGTTTATTAAAAATTGACTCAATTTGTCATACCAAGCTCAAGGAGCTTGTTTAAGACCATATAGAGCCTTATTCAGTTTGTATACATAGTCAGGGTGTTCATGATTTTCAAAACTAGGAGGTTGTTCCACATATACCTCTTATTTTAAATCGCCATTTAAAAAAGCACTTTTTACATCCATTTGATATAATTTAACCCATTTGAAGCAGCAAAAGCACACAACAGTCTTATTGCTTCTAACTTAGCCACCGGTGCAAAGGTTTCATCAAAGTCTATACCCTCCTCTTGGTTATAACCTTGAGCAACCAATCTTGCCTTATTTCTTATTATAATTCCAATTTCATCAGATTTGTTCCTATAAACCCATTTTGTTCCAATTATTGTTCTGTTTTTACGTCTTGGAACCAAATCCCAGACCTTTGTTCTTTCAAACTGATGCATCTCTTCATGCATAGCAGCATTCCAGTATTCATCCTCTAAGGCTTCTTCAACATTCCTAGGTTCTATCAAAGATACAAAGGCAGTGTGTTCAGGATAAGATTTAGAGCGAGTAACCATACTTTGGTTTAAGCCTCCAATTACAAGAGAAGGTGGATGCCGTTTCTGAATGTGAGAGGAGATCCTAGTAGGAATGGAAATGGGGCAGGTCCGGGGCTGGTTTCTTGGTACCCAGACCCGCCCCGTGGCAGGTCGGGTAATTGATCACGGGTCGCGGGTCGGGGCAGGTCGACCCAATAGGTATGCAATTTATATTAAAAACATTAGAAATATTCGTTTTTTTATTATAAGACTAAGAAAACAAACAATATTATGACAATTGCAGTTAAATTATTGGAGAAATTGAGGTTTTTACTAATTTACAACTTTCTTATAGCTAAAATATGATGCAATAAAAGGAAAATACTAAGTAATTTGACTAAGATTACATGTAAATTAGACAAGAACGGGTCGAGAATGGGGCGGGTCGGACCCGCCCCAAAACAAGTCAAACAGGTCGGGTAACACGGGTCAGGTCGAAATTGCCATCCCTAGCTCCTGGTAGATGCACATCTTCAGGAGCTTCTTCCTGTGTTGATTCCAGATTGGTAGGGAAAGAAATGACTCCCTTGGCTTGACTCAAGCTAAGTTCGAGATCATCATCATCTTCCAAAATTTCTGCACACTTACTTGTAGACTCATCAAACAACACATTAATGGACTCCTCAACCTTGAGGGTCCTTATATTATAAACATAATAGGCCTTGCTGTTTGTGGAATATCCTAAGAAGATTGCCTCATCAGACTTTGAATCAAATTTCCCTAGTTGATCCTTAGTATTCAAGACAAAGCACTTGCACCCAAATGGGTGAAAATAACCTAGAGTAGGTTTTCTGTCTTTCCATAATTCATATGGTGTTTTGTTTAGTTTTGCTCTGATTAGTGCTCTGTTAGTTATATAACAGGCTGTATTAATCGCTTCCCCCCAGAATTTTTTAGATACACCATAGTCATTAAGCATAGTTCTTCCAATTTCGATTAGTGTTCTGTTTTTCCTTTCAACAACACCATTTTGCTGGGGTGTCCTAGGTGCAGAGAAATTATGTGAGATTCCTTTTTCATTACAGAACAGTTCAAAATTTTCAAATATAAACTCACTGCCATGATCACTTCTGATGCTAACTATTTTGACTGCTTTTCATTTTCTACTTTAGCAACTAAGTGTTTGAATTCAAGCAACGTCTCATCTTTACTTGCAAGAAAGAGCACCCATGTGTATCTAGAGAAGTCATCTACAATGACAAATGCATAGTATTTTCCTCTTAGACTCTTTACATTGCTAGGTTTAAATAGGTCAAGATGAAGTAGTTCTAAAGGCATATTTTTTGAAATAACAGTTTTAGTTTTCTAGGATGCTCGAGCATGTTTTCCTTTGGCACAAGCATCACAGAAGAATTCCTTCTATTTGTGGATTTTAGGAATTCCTTTCACTAGATCTAGGCTTACCACTCTTGACAGGGTGTTAACACTAACATGTCCTAGCCTAAGATGCCATTCAATTTGATCATTCTTATCAACAGTAACTAGACAAGTTTCATTGAACGCCTCCCTGTCATTTAAGTCAATAGTGAAGAGTTTTCCTTTTCTTTTTCCAATAAAGAGGACCTTACCACTCGATATTTCTTCAACATAGCATCTATCTGGTTCAAAGATTACTCTATTCATATTTCCACACATCTAGCTTATTAAGATTAGATTGTGTTTAAGATCCCTAACTAACATGACGTTGTTAATAGATGGTACAGTCCCTACTTGTCCTTTTCCTATAATTTCAGTGCTAAAGTTATCGCCAAAAAAGACTTTACCTTTCTTTCCTAGAGTTAGTTTAGAGAACAGCTTTTTATCCCCAGTCATGTGATGTGAGCATCCACTATCAAGAATCCAAACATTGTCTGCCATGCTCACTTGGACACAGGTCTGTATATCATTTTCCTCGATGTCACTTCCTTTGATTGCCATGTATGCTTCCTACTT